CCTTCCTTCCTTCCTTCCTTCCTTCCTTCCTCCCGCATCAGAGTTACTGCGTCTTTATTTTATAGATGTCAGGCATTATACTAGCGTGTGAGAAGGCAGGAAATAATGCTCAAAGTAAGACAGAAGGAAAGGGTGGGTAAGACAAGGTTACTGGCCATATGAAATTTAGAATCTGGTTGTATAAGAAGACATGCATAAAATGAACTAAGTTAGAAAGCAGAATAGTTTCATAGTAGAATCACGGTCAAAGAAATAGAGAAAATAAAAAAATATATTAACATGTAAGCATTGAAATAAAAAAATTAAACTTTGAATTGTTATATTCTATTAAAATTCAGATACCTGTATCTTGTTTTCCATTATGTGTTATCATGAGGAATAATATTATTGCTAATTTAAAATAATTTAGCTTCTAAATTAAGATAATTCTGCTCAGCTATGTAGATAAAAATATTTTTGAAAAGCAATTTCTGAAAAGGAAACTGTATGTCCTAGAGATTAAAAAGACACTCATAAAGAAAGGGAATTAAAGTATCTCAAGTTTACTCAGAGCTGTTTTGCATTTTTTAAATAAAATTAAGATCTATTTTTTCTGTGTTTATAAGCTAGGAACATTTTTCTATATATCAGTTAGTTATACTCAAAAATATGTATACTCAAACTGACAATATTCCCAATAGAAGTGGTCACATACGATGCTCCCTGTGAGGTGAATATATTGGCGTAGGACTCCTGAAGCATTACTACAAGCCAAGCCTTTGATGTGTTCCAAGTGTAGAACACTTCTGAAGGCAAGCCACAATCAGATGAGACAGCATTCTACCTCAGCAAAGATTCTGTGTGCTACGCTACACAAAGAATTAATCAGCTGAGAATCACAATGCCCTTCAAAGAAGGGCTAAAGATTAGAGACTAGCTGCACAGAGGAGAAATAGCCATTTCTTATACTTTTTTATAGTTGAACATGGTTAACAGTAGCATTTGTTTAGATGGAAAGACAAGGAGCCATTTTCAGGTACAAAGGCCAGAAAAAAGACCACAAAGGCAGTCTAATTAAAACCTACGATAAACGTATTGAGAATAAACTGTAAACACTTTCCCTCCTGAGAACCATCAAAAGTCAAACTTACCTGATCTACTATCCAGAGGTCCAAAATCCAAAGAATATTTCACGACGTGATAGTTATTCCACACGTAAAGCAGGTTGTCCCTGGGGTTGTAATCCACGGCCGCTATGTACTGGTATGAGTTGGGAAAGGGTACGTCCACCATGCTGTCCTTACTTTGGTCGGTGTTGTAAATGTAGTCAATCTTGTTCCCTGTGGCCTCGTTGTCGTCATCCTCATATACAGACCTCACCACATACAGAATCCCACAGATCATAAACGCGTTGGAAGCCGACCGTTTATCATATGCCGTGTCCCACGTCCCTTCAATCCGGAGGGTGTAAGGGTTCAACTGACTAATGACAATTTTACCGTTGTTCTGTTCTGTTGCATAGATGACCCACAGCCCGTTCTCATCCACGGCCAGGTCTATGTCCGATTTGCCCCCCCATCGGTAGGGGGAGGTATCGTGGTAGTTGGCGTTTGCTATGATAGCCTCTCCACTCTTTATCCTAGTCCGCAAATCAAACTTGACTATGTTCCTGGTGCGCTCTTTGTTGAAGAACAAAGCTCCGTCGTAAACTACAAATCCGGTGCCATCCACCCGGTGAGGGAGCTTGTAGGTTGTAGTTGGCCTTCCAGCAATGAAGTCATCCTTGGATGAGTACTCAGTCAGGGTATCAGTTCTGTAAGGGGTCCAGGGCATATAATAAATCTTGTCAGAAGCCTGCAGAGGGTCTTTGCACCATGCCCCAGACTGGTGGTCGGACTCAAACAAATGTTCACTCTGGTACACTCCTTTTAGTAGTCCAGGACAGAGAAAAACTGTGGGAAGGAAAAGAGTTCAGATAATAAATATATTCGTTTTATATTTTGCCATTTTGTCTTATTTTTCACCAAGTGGAATGCAACTCTAACAAGAGATACCCACCACCGCTTAATTATTTTGCCGCATTCTTCTGAGAACACAATGTAGTCAGACAAGTTAATTTTGATTTTTGTTTAAAATCATTTTCGATTTCATTTGCTGAAAACATTTGGCCTTTTATGAGTAGCTGTGCTTTCCTTTGGTTTTCACCTTTGTACACATGTATTACAATATTTTTGGATATACGTATACAAATGTGCTGTATGCCTATGTATTCCATAGACATAACAAATGCAAATGTTCACACAAGATGCTTTTGTGTATCTTACTTATAAATTTCGAAAAACATTGTTTTCACTCCGATGGTATTAGCTACTCAGTACTTATCATTAGGAAATATGTAGAAATCCAATAGTAATTCAATACAATAACAAAGGAAAAGTAAAGCCCTGCAATATAGGCCACTGAATCTTCTAGCAAACAAAGCTCTTCAAGCCGCTATAGCGCACACAGAGCATGCAACCCACGCAACTGAGAATGAGTGATGGATGAACACCGAAGAAGAAGAAGGAAGAAGGAAGGACAGGAGGAAAGGGAAGCAGAAAAGGCAAAAGGTTACAGAGCAGAACCCAAGATCTAGATTTTAATCAGTTAAAAATGTCCTGTTAAATACAGTAGTACTGGAACTTAAAAACATGTACCTTCTACTGTTACATGAGAAGAGCATTAAAAAACAAGATTACTTGCTGTAATATTTTGCTGCTCATACTTCAGACTGAAAATGGGCAAGTTATCTGATTCAGGTGGTTTTTAGTATGATTCAGTAGCGCATCATGTCAGTGGTGTAAGAAAGCCTGGCTGATTGATCTGTAATGAAGGGGCTATAAAGCAATGTTTCCCAAAGGGTGGTCCTCGAAGCACCTGTTTCTGTGCGGTGTAGCTAGAAGTTTCACGGGAAAAAAAGGGATCCTTAGCCACGTATAAACCCATACCCTGTTACACAGAATTGCGGCAGAGACTCCAATAGCTCAGGAACATTAGTGAACCTCCAAAGCACAAGTGGGAGGGCGAGCAAATTCTGCCAACCGATTTGATCATGGAACCCTGTCTGCAGAGCCTCTTTGTAGTGGCGTGTCCTTCGAACCTGCTATGGGAAACACTGCTCTCATATTTTTGCAAAGCAAACACACTGAAAAATAACCATGCAGTCTACTGTTATGCTTGAAATGATGACAAGTGTATTGGGTGGAGGAATTAGAAATTCATAAGGAACTTGGATGTTTACCCATATTTTAATACTTAATGAAAAAAGTATTATTTTCTTGATATTAGTAATGAGCTCTTTAACAGAAATTTTAAGCCTAGCTCCAATAGAAACAGTCTAAGATGAAACTCAGCTTAGAGGCTTTAGAGGTTATTAAAAAGGAAAGTACATTATTAAAGTGCCCAAAGTTTTACTTTTGGAGAAATAAAAAATTGAGGGAAAAGTTGACTATTACAGTCTTCCACAGCAAGAAGAGAGGGCCAATTCAGTTCATACTCAATATAAAACTGATGACTAAAAGAATTTCTCAGGATTCTAATATGGTAACTATAATTATAAAGGATGGGTAGGCATTGTTGTGAAAATTGCATGTAAATTTTATGTTAGTTACTAATCAGCCCTTGGTTACTGAAATAATTTATCTAAAGGTATTTCATGAAAACCATCTCCCCTTTCTCCCAGTAGTTAAAAGACAATAAAGAAACAGGGGAAACCACACCAAAGCTATGGAAAATTAGTATAAAAATAAAAACAAATCTAAAGCAATCACTATCCATCACCATCTACTGGATTTGTAACTACTTATTTAAAAATAAAGAGGAATAAAATACACAATTAAAAATTTTACATTATTAAACTGTTTTAGGATAAAAGAATGAAACCAGCACTGGTCAGTCTAACAAATTAAAGTGAAGTTGAGCAGCAGAAGTAGTAAATAAATTTTCATAAAATAGATAAGAATTAATAACAAAATTATTTTAACTAAATGTTAAACTGTTAAATAACTTAGCCTATAAATAGTATATAATTTATGAAAGGTATTTAATTACCTTTTTGTTCCACTTCTATTGGAGAGAGAGAAGAAAAGAGAGAGAAAGAAGAAAAAGAATAGATTAATGGTATTGGCCAAGCACTTTTTATTCACCTCTTCCAAACTGAAAGTAAATAATTAATTTCACTCAGACCTGATTTATTGAACATTATATGCTTTTTTACAAACCCATTCCTGTAGCAAAATTATTTTTAAAAAATACAATCATATTATCAGCTTAAAATTACAGTACAAACTTGTTAAAAACAAGGCAAAAGTTAATCAGGCTAAAATTGAATAAACATCCTTTTCGATTACAGGTAAAAGAAATACAATATTCATAGTAAGAACACCCAAATTTTCATCTGAAAGGCAGGTCGGTAATATACACAGAAAGCTTTCAAATTGTTTGGCTAGTCTCATTTTTGAAATACTAAACTGTATGCCACTATTTACCATAATAGTCCTGCTTTTTATCCATCTCCAGAATGCGCTCTTCAGAAGAAAGGACCCTCTAACTCATTTCCTAAGGCCTAAGGTTTCCCATAGCCTATCTGTCTGATGAGCAATGCACTTCATGAGGCTGCCCATTAACAGGGGACGCTCTCACCCTGAGACATGGATTTAGGATCCTTTCTGAAGAAACTCTCTTCCTCCCACTCATCAATATTTTACATTACTGTGGAAAAAATAATGCCTTTCAGAAAAATCTGCATTAGAAGGTTGATATAAATAATAAGTCACCTGCTCTGGCCTTTTCTGAAATTCTGAACTGAGTTTTCAATATACTCTTGTAAGAATAAATTGAGATCCTCAAACATGATATGGCTACATAGCTCTCAAATTAGATTCCATTATTATTTTTTAAGTACTCATCAATACAAGTCAGGGAAAATTCTGGGAAACTGTAACATATTCATGAAACTCATCGAGTAGCATCTTCATCATCCTATAAATATTTGTCTCATCAGAAACAATTTGCCGAGATCACAACAAGAGAAAATGGGGACCAATGGAAAACAGAGGAGAGTCAGGAAAGAATGGGGTCATATCACAAACTTAAAAAGCACAAGTTGCAAGTGATGTGAATCAAAGATAACCTCAGAGGAAGGAATAAACTGAGACACTGTGCACAATAAATAAATTTAAAACTCTAGGAAGGTTTCAAAACAAGGGAGAAATTATATTTGGGTGAGATTTTTATGCTTTGACCTAAGCTCATGTCTTCAATTATTGTCAAAATTACACTCATATCTCTTGACTTTTTAAAAACTTTAATATCATATTTATGTATATAAAGTTATGCTTAAGAAGTTAAAAATGGGATTATATTTTTTAGGCTCCTTATTTCACTAATATTCACATATTATTTTTAACAGTATTTCTAGGACTCTTAAAAACTATTATACTGTTATAATTTATCATCCCCCTCAATCTTTACTGAGTAACGGCAGTGCTCTCTGGACTCTAAGTGAAAAGCTTTACCTAAGAGATGCACTTCACACTATGACTAGAATACTAACAAACCTGAGTTCAGGCTGACCACTAGAAGTACAACTAAGTACCTTACACAATTATTTAATCAATAGTCTCAAAAGCTTGGACTTGAGGCCCATTATAATGAGGTGGAGGCTGGGAGTGGGAAGTCATGCTGACGTTGACATTTTCAAAGACCACCTTACAAAGGAATTTCTAGAACTAATTTCATTCCTTGAAACAGCTCTACATAGATATCCTTTTGAGAGTGATAAAGGAAGGCACTTATATTCTAAAATATAAAATGTATACTCACACAACTTTAGTCTTATTTCACATAAAATTCTTATGTAGTCTTATAATTAAGGGCAAATATCCTAACTTCTTGGTGGCTGGTATTTCTCTCTTCAACAAATACTTCTTGAGGAAAATGGAATATGTGATAGGAGGTATTGATAAGGTTTTATATTCTTTAAAGTATTATACTTTAATGGCCTTTTTTTCCCCCCAAAGAACTTTCACCTCTATTTTCTTTCATTAGGTAAAATTTTGCTTTTAATTCTCTGGTCCTGGTCTAATTTCAGAAATACTGGCATAAACTGTAGCATAAGTGAAGCTTGCCTCTATTACTTGCTGGTTACTTAAAATTAAGATGTATTAGGCAGTTCTACTTTGGAGAAAATTATTATGGTCTTGCCTATGTCATGACTGGCTGTAGCTCGTTTATCATTTATTTGCTATTTTCAAGACGGAAGTAAGACAATCCCATAATTTAAGTTGAAACAAGCACACACAAATCATATTCCCATAGCAAAAAATGGCAAAGCAAACATAATTTGTCATTGAAAAGCTAGTAACATTTAGAATTAGCCAGTCATTTTTTCATCTTCTAATTCGGATTCTAGAAGTTTCCCTTCCCTGAAATAAGCAAACAAACAAATTGCATGAAACACGTTTACCACTGTATCTTTTACAACCTCACAGTGCCTGGCACATAATAAATTCTCAGTAAATAGCTACTGAATTAATACATAATTCAAATAAAGGTTATTAATTCTGCTTCTTGATATTTCAAGCAGGTAGTCAAGAGAAAAGAAGTAATAAGACAAAATCTGGATTTACTATATCAAATCATATGTGCAAAGCATAATCTGCATAATATCTTTAAATATTTCAATGGACAAGCAGGGAAGTAAAACATATAAGCAGTTTGTATCTACAACTCATTACACGTAAAACTGGAGGGAAAAAAGGAAATGAGGAAAAAAATGTATGGATGCTCTTGAGGGTTAGTTTGGCAAGAAAAACGTGTTGCTATAAAATAGCCTGCAATGATCTAAATATGCAGGTTGAAAATACTCCCTTCTCTTCTCTCTGTAAAAAGATCATAAATAAATGAATTGTACGATGACAATCGTGTTAGGCCTTCAGGACCTCCTGTCATTCTGTCAGGTCCAATATCCTGAATTCTGACATTATAACTGTTGTTATTCATTTCGAAACCTCTTTGGAACTAGTTTCTCTTCTTTTCTCTCTTCACTTTTAATCCCCCAACTATTTTTATTGTTCATTCGGCCTCTGCAAATATATTTATACATTTCCTTGAAGCGATTTCATTGCTGTCCTTTGTCAAACTTAAGGTCATAAGCTATATCCTGTGGTTAAGAGTAAATGACAAATCCAAACTAAGGGTAATTTTACTCTGTATAAAAGGAAGAAACGGGGGGAAAAAAGATTAGTGCAATTTCCTTTCATTTTCCAATAGTTCATAAAATAGATATAATATATAGTCATGTCACTGTTTAGAAAATAAGATGTTATGAGTTCTACCCATATCTGCACCATATGCAATACTTTCCAACTGCATTCTTTAATTAGAAAAGGTATGGATGAGAGAGCACATGCATGCGTTGCCAAGCTTTTTCAAATTGCACTGAGAATTAGAGGCAAATAAAACGGTTATGTGCCAAAAATTGTTAGTGCCATAACTGAGAAGTATGAAATTGTATCTAATTCTAATGTAGCTTATATTTTCTTTTAAACTGAAGTTACACAATTCATTTTCTATCTACAATTTAAGTGTCTGAAATGAGGAGAGTGTTATAATCCAATGATAGTTCTATATTTCTGTAATAAATATAAAGCCACTTACAGAGAACATAAGATGGCTATAATGTATTAAATAATTTATAAACAACTATTTTTTTTCACTGAAATATAGCATATTTTAAACAATTATTTTCTTGGTTTCACTGGCTTAGGCTATTAAAAGACCTTGGGGTACCCTTATCACTAGGCAGCTGGGCAGTTAGGAAAACAGCAGAAAGGCAAACTAGTTAAGTATTAAATAAATCAGTCTTGGATGAAAATTTGCTGGTGCATCATCCAGAAACAAAATCATCTAAATGTGGGTAATCAAAAGTTTACAATGGTACGTTATACTTGTATAACAGTTTATAATTTTAGAAATGTTTTCACTTGATTTAAGTGTTCAAACAACACTGTGATGTTGTATTTATTATTTCTTTATCAGAGACGAGTCTACCAAAACTCAAATGGTTAAAGGATTTAACCAAACTCACATAGAAGCACACTATAGAGGAGATAACTAACATAAATAGAATCTCCCTAAGGGCAGGCACTATGTCTGTTATAAGAACATTCATTTAGCATGTACCACATGCCACATATTGGTCTAAACTTTTGCATTCAATACTATTTAATTATCTTACAACAACTTTATGAGGTAGATACTCTCATTATTTTTATTTTTCAAATGAGGTAATAGATACAAAGATGCATGGCTCTTTAAGTCCTAGCCACAGCAATCACACAAGAAGAAGAAATAAAAGGCAGCCAAATGAAATACGAGGAAGCAGAACCGTCATTATTCACAAATGACATATTACGTAAAAAACCCTAAAGACTTCAGAAAACTACAAGATCTAATAAATGAATTCAGCAAAGTGGCAGGATACAAAGTTAATATTCAGAATTCATAATATTTTTATAATGAACTATCAGAAAGAGAAACTTAGAAAACAATCCCATTTACTATTGCAACAAAAAATAAATAAATAAGGTACCTAGGAATAAATTCAATCAAGGAGGTAAAAGACCTGTACTCAGAAAATGACAGGACATTGAAGAAAGAAATTGAGGAAGATACAAGTAAGTGGAAGCATATACTGTGTTCATGGATTGGAAGAATTAACCTCATTAAAATGTTCATACCACCTAACACAATCTATAGATTCAATGGAATTCCTATTAAAATACCAATGGAATATTTCACAGATCTAGAACAAATATTCCAAAAATTTATATGAAACCAAAAAAGACCCCTAATAGCCTCAACAATCTTGAGAAAGAAGAACAAAGTTGTAGGTATACCTGATATAAAATTACACTACAAGCCCATTGTAATAAAAACAGCCTGGTACTGTTTTTATAAAAGCAGGTGTATAGATCAATGGAACAGAATAGAGAATGCAGAAATAAACTCATGCCTTTATGGTCAATTAATATTTGATAAAGGAGGCAAGAGCATACAATGGA